GGTGACATTCAGCCGTAGCTCCAGTTCCAGTACCAGTTACAGATGGAGAGTCAGTGCGAGCTGCCAGCTCTAGCACTAGAGCCAAGGCTAGAACTGGCTCTAGGCTTTCCTGTAGCAATTTGAGCATATTATAGTTGCTTTAAAGCCTTTGTCTAAAAAGTCCAATGTTTGGGCTTCCTCAGAGATGGTTTCTGCCCATTTTCCCCTGCTTTGAGTGGTCAAAATCCTGTTTCTTTGTATATTTTTCTTTGTTGAAAACTGAGCATTTGAATATTATAATATGGTAACCCTGGAAATTAGCTTCTCTCCCTTTCCCAGAGTTTACTGTTTTTGATTATTGAAGGCTGCAGTCATCTGTTTAATGACTTTCCCCAACTGTTTTTGTGAAGACTGTCATCCTTGTCATGTGTGTTCATTTGAAGTCTCTATTTGACTAATATTTTCACAATTTTTACCAGAAGCTAAAAACAAACAACCCATCTCTTCCAGACTTTATAGGCTGACTCTTAGCTGTCCATTCCTGTAACACTTAGTGAGCAGCTTATAACTCTGCCTTAACCTTTACTTCCTGTTTTGACCAAGCCCAGTGACTGGCCAGAGGTGAAAGCTTAGGGTCTTCTCAGGTCTATTTCGAACATGCATCCTGTCCTGGCCATGCATGTAGCTTTCTAAATTCCCTAGTCAGTTCAGTTCAGTTCAGTAGCTCAGTCATTCATATCCGACTCTTTGCGACCCCATGAATCGCAGCACACCAGGTCTCCCTGTCTATCACACACAGGGTCACTTTAGAATACCCCAATTTTTCAAAGAAACTTCCCAGTATTTCTTCCCAGGCTTAGGTGGTCTATTGCAGTGAGTTGGCCAAATTGTTCATTCGGGTAATTCATTCCATTATTTTCTTTCAGTAATTGTTTGTCTTCTCACAGCATGTGGGATCTTAGTTCTCTGACCAGGGATCAAACCTGTGCCCCCTGCAGTGGAAGTGCAGAGTATTAACGACTGTACCACCAAGGAGTCCCTCAACAGTGTTTTCAGAGTACAAATCTTGCATCTCCTTGGTGAATTTTATTCTTTCTGATGTTATTGTAAATAAAATTGTTTTCTTAATTCCTTCTCACTTTGTCCATTGCCAGTATACAGAAATACAACTGATTTTTTGCATATGTATCCTGCAACCTCGTTGACTTTGATATATTTTGTGTAGTCTTTTTTCCTTACCATTTTCTAAATATACCATCATGTCATCTGCAAATAGCTTTATTTCTTGCTTTCCAGCTTTGATGCCTTTTATTTTTCTTGACTAACTGCTCCGGCCAGAACCTCAATGATGAATAAGAGTGGTAAAAGCAGTCATTCTTGTCTTGTTCCTGATCTTAATGGGAAAGCTTTCAGTCTTTCACCAGCTGAGTATGATGTAGGGTTTTTATATATGTCTTTTATCATGTTTTGGAAATTTCCTTTCCTTCTAGTCTATTTATCGAGTGCTTTTATTATAAAAGAAGGTTGGATTTTATCAAATGCTTTTTCTGCACCAATTGCCAATTGAGATGATCATATGGTTTTTCCCCTTCATTCTACTGGTGTATTACATTGATTGATTTTCATATGAACTAACCTGCCATGCCTGGGCTAAATCTCTCTTGGTCATGATGTATACTGCTTTCAATATACGGCTGGATTCTGTCCACTAGTATTTTGTTGAGAATCTTTACATTTATATTCATAGAGGTATTTGTTTGCAGTTTTCTTGTAACACCTTTATATGGCTTTGGTGAAGGGGGATACTGACCTGATAGAATGAGTTAGGAAGTGTCCTGCTTCTATTTTCTGGAATATTTTGAGGGCTGATATGAAACATTGTTTAACTGTTGGGTAGAATTTACTAGTGAAGCCACTGGCCTTCAGATTATTAGCTAGGAGGTTTCTGATTACTGATTCAGTCACTTGTTACAGATCTATTCAGATTTTGCTTCTCCTTGAGTCAGTCTTGAGAGTTTGTGTGCTTCCAGAAATGCATGGGGAACAAAGCTCTCAGCAGGAGCAACTTGGCCCAGCCTGGCCCATCCCTGACGCAGAGGTCAACAGGTTCCCAAGGACAGGGATGAGAATGCAGCCTTGCAGGCTCAGTATTTTGGACTTTAGTGTAATGAGCAGCTAGTCTGCATTTTTAAGGTCCCTCAGGCTGCTTTGTGGAGGATGTAGGACAGCCTGGCCCATCCCTGATGCAGAGGTCAACGGGTTCCCAAGGACAGGGATGAGAATGCAGCCTTGCAGGCTCAGTATTTTGGACTTTAGTGTAATGAGCAGCTAGTCTGCATTTTTAAGGTCCCTCAGGCTGCTTTGTGGAGGATGTAGGAGGTTGGGGAAAGTGTCAGGGAGACCAGGGACGGGGCAGCCACAGTTGTCCCAGTGGAGATGCTAAGGGCAGGAGCAGACGTCAGATGTATTCTGGAAGCAGAACCCACGGGACATAGTGATGGATTGGAAATGCAGAAGGTCTGGAGGGTCTCAGGTCTCTAGCCTGAGCTCAGGGTGGACAGTGGAAGCACCACCCCCTGAGATGGGCAAGATGAATGCAGTTGGTGGGGGCAGGGCAGAGGCTCAGGAGTTCTGCTTTGAACTGGAGATTCTTAAGTCATTTCAGGCTCTGGAGCGCTGACCCCTCAAGAGTAAAAAGGAAAGAAAAGGAAGCATCTTCCTCACAGGGTTCTTAAGTAAACGTGGCGGGAGCTGGGCTTCCCTTAAGCATGCAAGCTCTGCACAGGTCCCTTTGCCAGTTCAGTACTGAGTCTTGTCTATTTCCTCCTTTAATCCCTTGCGGTCTGGCAGTTCTGGGCCTGGGGCCTGCTCTGAGCTGTCACTAGGTAAAAGTCTCTGCCCTGTCTTCAGACTTTCCCATGGAAACTGTCCCCAGAGGCATCTGACCCTCAAAACCCTTAACTACCTACAGATGGGCAAATTCTCTGGCCAGTTACCCAGTCTCAACCTGCCCCGTTTAAGGACAGTTTTCCCCAGCACACGTCCCCTGCCTGAGCCCTGTCCATACTTCCCTACCTCCTTGGGAGGGCAGTCTCGACAGCCCCAGTCCTGGGCTCCCTTTCAGCTAGCTTATTCTCCAGGCACGGGTTCTCCTGACAACTCCTTGTGCCTCCAGGGGTTCCTTCCTGACCTAGGCGTTAGCCCAGGCCCACCCAACATTCTGACACCTAGACAGGATGTCAGGAACAAGACAATGTTTCTGGAAAGGCAGTTTTTACAGAGGGCACCCGGCATTGCTCTTCTTTGGCTTCCTGGGAGATTGTCCCCAGAACACAGACCACAGTTCCCTGTGGGCTGTGGCAGAACAGAGATTAGTCTGTCATCCTTCATCCCAAAATGATTGGGGTGGTACACAAGTAGATGTGGTAGGTAAGCAGATACTTGATGGAGATGACAAAAGATTGCTTTTCTGCCCTGTCCCATGGCTCCAGCACTCTTCAGAAGAATGATGTATATAAGGATAACATTTCTATGGATTATCCATGTGGGTCTGTGTGGACCCCTGGTCAGCAGAATGAGACCTAAGTTTGGGAAATCATCTGTCTGGCTTATTTTAAAACATTTAAAATAAACACTTTGGTCCTCTTCATAAGGACACAATACCTGACTTTTCCTCATGCAGGTTTGTATCAATTCATCTACAACTCTCAGTAGCCACCATCTCTGAGATGGGTGATGGAAAAGCGCACAGTTTGGCCCTAAGAACAGCTTTCTCTTGGCAGTTTCTGCAAGGAGGAACACTGGGTACTTGAGTATTAAGAACAGAAATAGCACTGGAAACACGTTCGAGGCAGAGGAACAAACTTGGTCTCTGTAATAATCTGCTAGCAGCAGCACTTGTGAAACAGGCTTAGGAGTTGGAGCTTATGAGGACAAAATAAATCAGTGAGGCAAGGCTGTCACAGAAAGGCCGAGGGGAGCTTCTGCTATATTGAGGAAGGTCCAGAAACTAAACCAGAGAGGGAGTCCTCCCACACCCAAACCCCACAATTTAAAACATGCCCAAGGGCTGGGAGTCAGGGCGCACCTGAGGGAGACAGGCTTCCCCTTGGCCTAGGGGCGAACTCTCCTCAGCTGGAGGGGTCTGAGGACGGCCGTCCCCCAAGGCTAGCAGCGTCTGAACAGAGGCCAGGAGAGCGCTCGGCAGGATATGGCTGGGAGAGGCAAGTCTGGGAAGGTTCCTGAAGCAGACGCTGACCTTGACGGTCCCTTTCAGCCCCAAGAGAAGGGCTGCCATGGGCCTTCTCAGCACTGACATCCTGTAAGTTCCTATGGAGGCTTCACTGGGGACTGGGCACTGCAGGTGCCCACCTCAGAGTTCTCTCAGCCCCTCAGCACCTGGACACACCGCTTTAGTGCCCTCAAGGGGCAGAGCTGAGAACAGGCTCCAGGCTTCTGTGCCAGCTAAGCCATGGGGCGGGGGTGGGGGGGTGACTTGTCACCCGGGGCAGCATCTCCCCACGTCTGGAACTCCACCCCACGTCTGGGTTCCTTTCCAGTTTGGGATCAACAGGCATGAACTAACCCTGTCTTATACAGAGCAAGTCACCCCTTATAGCCTTGCGGTTCTCATTCCATTTCCCCACATCTATTAAGGGGAGGTCTCAGTTGGGGGCTAGGGTGTCTGACTCCACGGTAACATCCCTTAACCTCCCCGTGTACAGACAGCAAGTCTCCTGTGTAGGCACAGCATTGGGCTGTTATTTCACAACACTACCAGGGTCTCAAAGACAAGTCTGGAGAGTCAACTAAAAAGATCATCTCAGGGACCTCTCGGTGGTGCAGTGGTCCAGTGGTAAGACACAGCACATCCACTACAGGGGACATGGATTTGACCCCTGGATGGAGAACTAAGATCCTCTATCCCACATGGATCCCACATCCCACATACGTACTGTGTGGCCACAAATTAAAAAAATAAAGATCATCTTATGAAGAAGAAAGAGAAAATAGGAAAGCCGCAAGTTGAAAAAAAAGTTTATCTTTTCTTTTAAAAAAGTTATAAAATTTATATAGCTGATTAAAGTTTAAAATCTCCTATGCAAAAATTGATGTTATTTGAAAGACTTCCGGATTGCTTGACTCCCAAGTCCAATACACTCTTCCATTTCGACCCTTCATCTCTTATAGATCCCACACTTCCACGTTTTCTTTAGAAAACACGATCTGAGGTTATACGTAAGTGATCAGCATTTCAAGTGTACAAAGCGGTGTCTGAGGTAGCAGGAGGCATGCTGGCAGGATGAGTGGTGTGGAGGCTCACATGTGGGCTGAGCCCACTGCCGCCAGCGTTCCCCACACTGCGAGGCAAACCTGGGGCTCCTTCCTCGCCCGTCAGCCCTCCTGGTCTCTCCTGGGGACACGACCTCCCGAGCCTGGCTCTCCTTCCAGTGCCCAGCCTTGGTTTCATTCCACTTTGATTCTGGTCAGCTCCCACCTTCCGTCTCCACAGAGTCTCAGAAGCAAGGAGTGAAACTACAAGAGACCCCCACCACCACGCAGTGATCAGGCTGCCCTGGCTGTGATCGACCCCCTGCCCACTCTGCCATCCCCACTCCCCATTCCGCTGGCCGCCCGCCAGGCCCAGCCTTGGGGTTCCTCCTGGTCCTCGGGCCATCCTGTGGGCACGGGTACCTTCTCGAGGCTGCGCCGATGGCCCACGCTGATGAATGTCATGCCCAGCTGCTGGCCGATGCGGTACAGCTCGCTCTCCACCTCCTCGGTCAGGGCACTGGTAGCTTCATCAAGCACTGAGGACAGAACCCAGCAGGAAGACGTGGGGGCCTGCGGTCCATCTACCTCTGCTGCTCCTCCAACCCACGCCCACCTCTGGCTGGGACCTGATGAGAGGCTGAAAACTGCTCTGCCTCCCAGGAGCCCTTCCTTGGGGAGACCACGGGCAAAGGAACAGAGGGTGAGGCTTCATTTGGGAAGCCACTGCCAGCAGGGGGACAGAATCCTTCAGCTTCCTATGGATGAATATCAGCCACTGCCTTGGACCACTCAATCTGTGGAATCCTAGTTCCCTCAAGGACGTCAGTTCCTAGAAAAGTTCATACCTGCCATCCCTCTGCCAGGTACAGCTGGGGAGATGGCAGAGTCTGAGGACCAAAATCAGAAGCCCTCTCAAGGCTGCCTCCAGCTGCTACACTGGCTGAAAGCTTAAGACTCGGCAGTTTAATATATGGAGGCTTCCCCGATGGCTCAGTGGTAAAGAATCTGCCTGTGACGCTGGAGACCCGGGTCTGATCTCTGAGTGGGAAGGTTCCCTGGAGGAGGAAATGGCAACTCAAGCTTGACTCCCAAGTCCAATACACTCTTCCATTTCGACCCTTCATCTCTTATAGATCCCACACTTCCACGTTTTCTTTAGAAAACACGATCTGAGGTTATACGTAAGTGATCAGCATTTCAAGTGTACAAAGCGGTGTCTGAGGTAGCAGGAGGCATGCTGGCAGGATGAGTGGTGTGGAGGCTCACATGTGGGCTGAGCCCACTGCCGCCAGCGTTCCCCACACTGCGAGGCAAACCTGGGGCTCCTTCCTCGCCCGTCAGCCCTCCTGGTCTCTCCTGGGGACACGACCTCCCGAGCCTGGCTCTCCTTCCAGTGCCCAGCCTTGGTTTCATTCCACTTTGATTCTGGTCAGCTCCCACCTTCCGTCTCCACAGAGTCTCAGAAGCAAGGAGTGAAACTACAAGAGACCCCCACCACCACGCAGTGATCAGGCTGCCCTGGCTGTGATCGACCCCCTGCCCACTCTGCCATCCCCACTCCCCATTCCGCTGGCCGCCCGCCAGGCCCAGCCTTGGGGTTCCTCCTGGTCCTCGGGCCATCCTGTGGGCACGGGTACCTTCTCGAGGCTGCGCCGATGGCCCACGCTGATGAACGTCATGCCCAGCTGCTGGCCGATGCGGTACAGCTCGCTCTCCACCTCCTCGGTCAGGGCACTGGTGGCTTCATCAAGCACTGGGGACAGAACCCAGCAGGAAGACGTAGGGGCCTGCGGTCCATCTACCTCTGCTGCTCCTCCAACCCACGCCCACCTCTGGCTGGGACCTGATGAGAGGCTGAAAACTGCTCTGCCTCCCAGGAGCCCTTCCTTGGGGAGACCACGGGCAAAGGAACAGAGGGTGAGGCTTCATTTGGGAAGCCACTGCCAGCAGGGGGACAGAATCCTTCAGCTTCCTATGGATGAATATCAGCCACTGCCTTGGACCACTCAATCTGTGGAATCCTAGTTCCCTCAAGGACGTCAGTTCCTAGAAAAGTTCATACCTGCCATCCCTCTGCCAGGTACAGCTGGGGAGATGGCAGAGTCTGAGGACCAAAATCAGAAGCCCTCTCAAGGCTGCCTCCAGCTGCTACACTGGCTGAAAGCTTAAGACTCAGCAGTTTAATATATGGAGGCTTCCCCGATGGCTCAGTGGTAAAGAATCTGCCTGTGACGCTGGAGACCCGGGTCTGATCTCTGAGTGGGAAGGTTCCCTGGAGGAGGAAATGGCAACTCACTCCAGTATTCTTGCCTGGAGAATCCCACGGACAGAGGAGCCTGGTGGGCTACAGTCCAAAGGGTCACAAAGAGTCAGACACTACTGAGCGGTTTTATATATACCTGAGGATGCCAAGCACTGCTGCCCCCCAGCAGGGACAGAGACACCTGGCCAGGCACAGGTGTGCTCTCCTACCCATACCCATGACTCTCCAGGTGCACTTGAACAACACGCTGCCACACCTGTGAGCGCACACGGTACCTGGATGGCACACGCACCTACAGGGCGAACCTCACCTGCGTACTTTGGCTGCAGGTAGAAGAGCCGGGCAAAGGAGAGCCTCTGCATCTCTCCCGGGGACAGAACATCATACCTGCGGAAAGGGAGGGGGAGAGGCTCACTGGAGGAAGGAGCATATAGCTTGGCTTCTGCACAGAATGGCCTAGGCAGGAAGAGGCTCTCACTGCAGACAGACTGTCCCAGGGCCCCCACTTCCCGCCAGAACCCCACTGCCCACATGAGACAAGGCCAAAACTCTGTACGCAAGGATATGAACCAGGCCCCTAATGGGCCAGCAACACGCTGGGATTTGGGGTCAGGAGCCAGTTCATCCCTTGCCAGGACCCCTGGGACCCTAATGGGCCAGCAATGCCCTGGAATTTGGGGTCAGGAGTCAGTTCATCCCTTGCCAGGACCCCTGAGAGCCACTGTCTTTGGGGGAGCTGTCTCTGGAGCACGCCAACCTCCTCCTTACCAGTTCCAATCGACCTGCTGGTCCAGACCTTCTGTCCTTGCCACCAAGCTGGACTGTAACACACCGGAGAGAACGATGGGTCCGTGGAAGGGCTCATCCCTATCTCTTCCCATCCCGAGGACCACCTCAGCCCCACCACATACATCTACCCCGGGCAGTGCAGCAAGTGGGGGCTGGGGGAGCAGTCTGCCCCAGGCAGAGAGGGGAAGTCCATCAGCTACTGTTTAGACTCGCTGGAGTGTGGGGACCAGCGAAAGCAACCCAACATGGTGTTATCATTGTTTTAAAAATTGCTACAGAGTGATCTCTGCTTGTTTCCCATACCTGGCCAACAGCTCCCACTGCTGATTTATATGCCCACCTCCAACCTCCCTGCCCTCGCCCCAGGCTCAGACCTCCAGTCCCCGGCCAGGGACAGTAGGTCTGGCCCTGCTCGGCTGGCACCTGTGTGGTCGGTGCTACCAGGTGGGCTTGGACCTCAGGGTCCTTGCCCTCACTTACCAGGCCTGCCAGCTCCAAGAACCTCATGATCCTCTCATCATCGGTAGAACCTACAAGACACAGAAGTCAGCGCCTCTGGGTGGCCAGAATAGATGGGGCGCATCATGACAGGGGGCAGCAGGGGCGGGCGGGCAGAGGTGGAGGCACCAGAATGGGGGCCAGGGCTCTGAGTGACAGGTGATAGCACTTAATAAACAAGGGAAGGGCCGGGGAAGGATGTGATCCGTCCCTTCCCTCCCATGACTGTCTCTCCTCTGCAGGGGGCAGACAGAACAAGATGAGGTCAGGGTACAGACCCCAAAAAGTAACCAGTCAGAGGAAGCGGTGGAGGGGACCCAACCAGAAACCAGCAGCCTGGCTGGGGGCCACCCCCAACAGGCAGAGAAGAGACAGTGGGATGGGGGACATATCCCGAGGGGGCCCAGCTCACCTGAGTCTGGGTAGATCTCTTTCAGGGGATATATCACCTGATAAAACAAAACCACAGTGGCCTGGGTAAGGGCCAAGGAGAGGTGGGACGGCACACAGCCCACCCTTGCTCAGAAACAGGAACTGCCAGAGACCAGGCTCCTCTCTACCCGAGGAGAGGAAGAAGCATTCTGGCTGAGGGGCTGGGATGGCAGGCAGCAGGGAGGGCCCCCAAAATCCAAGCTGGTGCTCAACAAACACATGTGATATTTGGCTTATGGCCCGCACAGGTTAGCCTGCCTCCCGGAGCTGCCCTGAGTACATGGCCTGACCCACAGATGTGAATATAAAACAGGAGCGGTCCATCAGCTACCATTTAGACCTGCTGGAGCGTGGGAACCAGAAAAAGCAACCTGAAGCTCCTCTCTACCCGAGGAGAGGAAGAAGCATTCTGGCTGAGGGGCTGGGATGTTGAGCACCAAAATCCAAGCTGGTGCTCAACAAACACATGTGATATTTGGCTTATGGCCCGCACAGGTTAGCCTGCCTCCCGGAGCTGCCCTGAGTACATGGCCTGACCCACAGATGTGAATATAAAACAGGAGCGGTCCATCAGCTACCATTTAGACCTGCTGGAGCGTGGGAACCAGAAAAAGCAACCTGACGTAGTGTTATCATTGCTACAGAGTGAACCCGGCTTGTTCCCCATACCTGGCTAACAGCTCCCACTGCTGATTTATATGCCCACCCCAACCCTCTCCCTCGCCCCAGGCTCAGACCTCCAGTCCCCGGCCAGGGACAGCAGGGCCGGCCCCGCTGGGCTGGCACCTGTGGTGGTGCTACCAGGTGGGCTTGGACCTCGGGGTCCTTGCCCTCACTTGCTGGGCATGGTTCATTTATGTCCCACCTGCTGCCCCAGCTCTCTAGGGCTGAGACCTGTCAGCCTACCAGGGGCCAAGTTGGGGGGTGGGGTGGGAGGAGTGGGCCCCGGGCTGACCTGCTCCCGAAGGGTCCCGTCAGTGAAGAAAGGCTTTTGGGGCAGGAACAGCACCCCGTGGGGTCCAAAGTCTGCCAGCATCTGCACTGAGCCTGCAGAACCCACAGAAACCTTTGTTTGGGCATCTTCCAAAAGGTAACTGCCCCTCACTCTCCTCCAAGAGGCTTGATCCTTACAGACAGATGCACACACTTACCCACACGCACACACATGCACTCCAACCCCCCAGGCCAAGGCTGGCTCAGAAACGGGGCAGGCTGGTCCTCACCCCGTGCGCTTGCCCAGAGGCCGCCCAGAACCCGGAGCAAGGAGGTCTTGCCGGTGCCCGTGTTGCCTGTGATGAGCAGGCTCTGCCCCTCAGAGATCTTCAGGCTCAGGTCCTTGATTAAGGGTTTGTGAGAAGAGGGAGCGCAGATGCAGACCCGCTCGAGGAGGAAAGCTGTATCTGCTGGCTCTGTCGCTGGCCCTCCCGGGTCCCTGGGGTCCAAGAAGGGAGGAGATGGGGGGAAGAAAAGCACTGTCAGTGCTGCTGGGAGGGGCAGAGCCCCTTCTCCTTGGGGGCAAATCACCTCTGAACTAGGCGGCTGCCGTGGGCTCAACTGTGGCCTCAGAAATATGCTGAAGTTCCAACCCCTGTACCTCAGAAGGTGACTGCATTTGGAGACAGGGTCTTTAAAGGGGTGAAGGTGAAAGTCGCTCAGTCATGTTCGACTCTTTGTGACCCCATGGACTATACAGTCCATGGACTTCTCCAGGCCAGAATACTGGAGTGGGTAGCCTATCCCTTCTCCAGAGGATCTTCCTGACCCAGGAATTGAATCAGGGTCTCCTGCATTGCAGGTGGATTCTTTACCAACTGAGCTATCAGGAGTGAGTACATTCAAATGAGGCCGTGATGGTAGGGCCCTAATCCTGCAGGACTGCTGTTCTTTTAAGAAGAGGGAGAGACACACTTAGGGGTGCACAAGCAGAGAAAACGCCATGGAAGGACGCCGTGCAAAAGCAGCTGCCTGCAAGTAAAGGAGCAAGGCCTGGGGAGAAACCAATGCTGCTGCCACCTTGACCTTGGACTTCCAGCCTCCAGAACCATGAGGAAATAAACATCAGCTCTTTAAGCTACCCAGTTTATGGTGGGTAGCTATGGTAGCTATGGGTGTCCTATGGTAGCCCTGGCACCTGCTCCGTGGCAGGCCGGGCCAAGTCCTGCCCTTGACTGATCTTAATCATTAATCAGTCTAACCAACCATGCACCACAGTGGTTATCCCCTCTTGGCAGATGAGGAAACTGAGTCCGGTGGCTAAGTAACTGGCACAGGGGCACAGAGCTGCATCTGTCCAGTTCTAATGTCAAGAGGTTTTCACAGCATCACAGTGAAATTGAAGGTCAGAAGGGGAATGGAAATACTAACTCGTTCTGGAGCTTCTGGCTCTCCATGGATGCCCATCTTCCCCACAGAAGAGCAACTCCAGTTTCCTACAGTCCCTGCCCCAGTAGCCCACCCCAGTCCCGGGGTTTCAGAGATGCATGAAGTTTTCATTCTTAACAGAGGCAACAGTTAAGGTGTTAGCTCTGAAGAAGAGAGTTGAGTGTAGTCCTTGAAATTCAGCCTGTTTCCATTTTTCAAAGCTTACTCTGAGGCCTCCATCCAAACCACCTCCTATGAACTAGGAGACCCAATCCCCACAACAACCCTAAGCTGAAGGTTCCATGAACATCTTCCTTATGGATATGAAGATACTGAGAGCAGTTAGGTAATCTGCTCAAGAAAAGTGAGGATATAAGACAAATCCTTGATACATAGAAAGGTCAGAAACATCCCAGAGCCTGCAAGGATACATGAATGAAGACACCTCTCGGCCTGAGCAGGGACAAAGAACAGACAGGCCCCAAGGAAAGGGGCGGGTGCAGCAGGGCTCGGTGGGAGGAAGAGGGAAGAAAGGAAGAGGAGGGATGCTATTCGGAGTTTCATTAACTCAGGCCCAGGCGGCTGTGTCCATTTTGTTTCCATCAGGTGGGGGGATGGTGTAAATGAACACAGATGATGCAAGAGTGACACGGATGGTGAACATTTACAACATGCCTGCACACAACAGGGGTTTCTTTCATTTGCTCTGCCAGACTCTCCTGCCCAGCCGGGAAAGGGCCGGGCTCCGGGGCGGTTCTGTAGCCCGCATGGTCCACCAGCACGCTGCTGGCCCAGGGCTTACCTGGCCAAGTCCCACTGGCTCTCATCCAGAATCTCCCCATCCTGTGACTTTGGGGTCATGTTCAGCAGGGTCTCCTGAAGCTCCCCGATCCTGGGCAAGAAGTGAAAGCCTGAGGAGAATCTCGGGGCCCTGGTGAAGGCCTTCCTCCTTTCTTCCTCTCACACCCATGAGTATTTGGTGAGTTTTTTCTGCTCCTTTTTTTCCCCCTCGGCTACTTCTCCCAGCGGCACACACTTTGCTTAGGACCTGGCGGGGCCAGAGGCAGCCTCACCTGTGTGTGTAGCCCGCCACGTCGGAGAGTGTGGTGGAGAGGTCGATGAGCTGGCTGAAGCAGCTGATGAGATACATGCACACGAAGGCATTCTGGGCAGGACAGAGGGCAGAGAGCCCAGGCCTTGACTCTGAGGCCAAACGGCAGGGAAGCAAGCGGGACTGGGGGCGGGGTCCCCAGGAGGGAGGCTCACCTTGCTGACCAGGCTGCTGAGCTCCGTGGGGCTCAGATCTCCATAGATGCCACTGAAAATGGGGATCGCGATCACGACGTAGCTCAGGATGCTGCCCAGATAGTCAAACATGTTGATGCCGACTGCGGAAGACGCAAGAGACCCAGGGTGAGAGGCCTGGGGATCAAGTGTGTGTGCCCCAAGGGGAACAAGAGGCCAAGCAGCATCAAGCGATTTCCCGAATCCTCACTCTCCTGAGGACACTCACAGCAAAGGCAAACTGATCAGTGCAGAGAGAGAGGAGGGGCTTGTGGGGGCTGGCCGTGGACTATCCCCGCCCCGTGGTTCCTGCCTCCCGGGCTCCCAGCACCTACTGTACAGCCAGAGTTCCTTGGACATCAGCTCCCTCTGGGTCTGAAGGAGTCGCTGCAGCCTGCGGTCTGTCCTCATGTGCTCCACGTGCCCAGCCCTGATGAGAAAGGCTGGGATGTCCACGGGGTCTGGAGAGCCTCTGCCAGACTCCTCACACTCCCCTTTCGGGACCAGGCCCACCCAAGTGATCTTTCCTGCAGACCCTCTTGGCCACTAGCAGTCAGCCATTGCTGCATTCATTCAACCTGGTATTGCCGGCAGAAAGAATAGCAACTCTATATAGAGTGGGCAGACCTGGCTCAAATTCTGGCTCTGGCCAGTGACTAGCTGGGTAACACTGACAGGTTATTAAGCCTCTGAGTCTCAGTTTATTCATCTATGAGATGGAGCTTATGATATCTATGTAATAGGCTAATGTGAAAATTTCTGAATTTTATAAAGTGCCAGGCATATGAGCGGCTCCTGATAAAAAACTGCTGTTATGAAACAAATATACACTGAGCAGTCACTAGGTGGCGGGCTTGGTGCTAGTCAGCCAGACAGGTGGATAAAACGGTCCCTGTACTGGAGGAGCTCCCAGTGCAGGACGGCAGGCAAATGCATGCGTTCGTCACCTGGAACATATGGAAAGTGTTACATAAGCCGGGTGTCTGCAGGACTATGGAAGCAAACAGGCCTGATCACTAAGGGAGTCTGGGAAGGCGCCCAGGAAATGGTGACTTTAAGCTTCAAGGATGAGCAGAAATTCTCCAGGCAGAAAGGTTAGGGGAGGACAGAGGAGTTTCAGATTTAGCATTAAGGACAGAGAGGCTGCAGGAGAACAAACTCAGAGCCCCAAGAACCAACCTGCTTGGCCCGGAGCCCAAAGCTTCATGAGCAGAGGTTGCAAAATCCATCCAAAAACAATTTAGCACAGGCCCAGCTGTACCTGCTCCCCATAACAAACCTCTCTCAGGCATGCCGAGTGCATGCTAAGTCGCTTCAATCATGTCCAACTCTGTGGCTCTATGGACTATAGCCTGCCAGGCTCCTCTGTCCATGGGATTCTCCAGGCAAGAGTACTGGAGTGGGTTGCGATGCCCTCCTCCAGGGGATCTTCCCAACCCAGGGATTGGACCCACATCTCTTGCATCTCCTGCATTGATAGGTGGGCTCTTTACCACTAGCATCATCTGGGAAGCCCCTCAACCTCTCTCATAGATTCCTGGAACTCTTGGTGCCCCTCAAGTGGTGGCAGCTACAAACTGCAGCAGAGATAGACAGAAGAGCAAAGTCCCGGGGCTATTAGAACCAGGTGACCCGAGGACAAACTTCCATTCCTTAAACACAAACCTCTGGGCCCTTACTATCAATCCAAACAGAGTCCAGAGTCCTTACAGGAGGCAGAGTTCAGGGACCTGCCGTGGCCGCAGGGGAAGGAATGGGATTTCACAACACGGTTATCAGGACAGAGTCTGTGGGGAGCGGGTCTTCTGATCTGAGAGGCTCTACTCCCTCCCATGCTACAGAGATGCAGGATTAGCTGTGGACGTCACTGGGCTTCGGGCACTGTGACATTTCCAAATGGCTTTTGGAAAGCCATTTTTTTACAGAGAGAAAAGCAGAGGCAATGCCTTATAGTCATCAGCAAGATGATGAAGCAGACACTCATTTCACTCTTAGAATAAATTCTGTCCCATGCTACACCACTAGGAGGAACGACTCATTTCAGAAGCAAACTCACGAACAGAAGGATGAGGCAGACAAGGACAGTGAGGAACATGGGGAGAGGGTCATGGCCAAGTGTGAGGATGCCTGGCCCCTGGCCTTGGCGATGGGGGAGGGTTGTATGATTCACCTGGCCCTCTCTGCCATCTATCTCCCCAATCAGTTATGATGAGGCAGATGGGCAATTATCTCCAAGAGACTCACCTGAAAAAAGCAGCAGGCTCAGCATTCACCCGGATCTGCATGTGCTTGAACCTGGGCAGACCAGAGGTAAATGTGTGCTGATGGTGGGCAGGACAGAGCCCTCTCCTTTCAGAGTCCTGGATCAACAGGACCTCCAGGCAAAGAGGAACATGGCTCCCCTTCAACACTGTGGCTGCCTCAGCCCAACCCTTCCCCGGACTGTCATAGGGTGGGAAATCCCAGGCCTGGGTGGAGTGGCAGGAGCCCTGCAGACAGGGCAGCCCCTCGCCTCGCTCCAGAGAGGACAGGTACATGCCTGCAACCACCCCTCCACCTCCCAGGGCCGGGTCTGAAGGAGGAGGCCAGGAAGCATAGAGCAGGGCCCAGATCCACGGGCTGACTTGAATGAGGGCGTCTGGAACAGCATGTGAGAAGGCCAAGGGATGATGGTGCCGAGGGCCAACCAGTCACCATTCTCACTGCTGCTCATGTATCATCTCATTAATTCCTTTTACGATTCTCTCCATCGGGGACAGTACCATCTCCATTTTAGAGATAGGAAGATGGAAGTTTAGAGAGGTTAAAGACCTCCCCTGAGAGCACATGGCTAGTGACTGGCATAACTGGGATTTAAACTCAGGCAGACTTTTTCCAGACCCCATTCCTTATGCATTATGCCTGACCCAAAAGCTCCCGAGCAAGGGAGACCCACCTGAAATCCCCCTCCAGCTTCTCCTGCTGCACCAGCTTTGCCACAATGGGACCCATCAACACTCTGTTCACCACGGTTCCCAGGATGAAATACCCGAAGATGCTCACAGGCCCGAGCCAGCTGGTGCTGAAATGCGGAGCGAGGGAGGGTGTGGAGAGGGACATATGCCCGCAGGCCTCGGCCCTGACTCCTGCCCCCGTTCTGGGCAGCCCCTGTGGGGCCTCTGCTCCTACGTGGGGGCACCCGGTACCTTGACAGAGACACACTACAGGGCCAAAGGGAGGGCCAGGGCCCGAACAGGCAAGATGGGAAGACTTCCTGGGGTGCAGGTGGGAGGGAAGGAAGACCTCTCTGGACCCTGACCCGGGAGAGCGGACTCCCCTTTGGCATGTGAGTGAGGGACTCGGGGGAACCAGCGGGCAGGGAAGGATGGGAGGCACGCCAGCAAGAGGAGAGGCTTCACCTCCGGAAGCACTGGTAGGTGTAGTAGACGAGGGTGAAGGGGGAGATGATCAGCTTGCTGGCCATGCTGCTGAGTTGCCGACAGAACCGCTCCACATCCTGGCTGATGCGCTGGTCCCTGGAGCCAACGACACACAGTGACTGGACCCAGGAAGCTGGCTTTGGGGTGAGAGCTAAGGTAGTTCCAGGTTACCTCTGATTCTGAACCTGCCTTGCAACGACCCCATGGGAAGAGGGACCCAGACAAGGGCTGGTCTCCTAAAGGCAATGAGACCCTTAGGATCTTCAAACAGGGTTGTGGAGAGTGGCTTCTTATGGCACTTCAGTCCATCCCTCAGGAAAAAAAATGGCAACTGAAAGGTCCAGCACCCAAGGGGCCTGAGCTGGCTCTGAGAAGAACCAAAAAAGGACTTATGGGTGGGTGACCCGAGTTTCTGGATGATTAGGAAAGCTCTCTGGCTTATCTCACTCCTCCCAACCTCTCCCTCACGAGCCGGAGCCCGCCCCCCATTTTAGCTATGTGGCTGTGGAAGCTCTGTATGGGTTCAGCCATGGAGGAGACGCCTAGAAGAGAAAGTCAAGAGGCATCAGGGCAGGACGTCTCTGGTAGTCCAGTGGTTGAGAATCCACCTTCCAATGCAAGGGGACATGGGTTCAATCCCCAGTCAGGGAACTGAAATCCCACATACCACAGGGTGACTAAGCTTGCATGCCTCAACTAAGACCGAATGGAGCCAAATAAATACATTAAAAAAAAAAGAAGAAGCATCAGGACCTCCCAAGAGCCTTTGCTGCACAGCTCCGCATAAGCTGAGGAAAGGTTACCTCAGACAACGAAGAGCTTGGAAGGGTGGTGAGTGGGGAGGAAATGAGTGTGAAGAGAGACTCCATACGTCCCATCCCAACACCAAGGCCACAATGACTCCTAACTCCCAGAGAGGCATGAGCTTGGGCAAATCCCTTGCATTCTCTGGGCCTCAGTTTCCTCACCTGTAAGGGAACCTGGGACTCAGTGAACCTAAGAGAGGTGACAGAACGGGGACTGGAATCCCAGACTGAGTCCTAGACAGCAGCAATTTTTTACTGCTGAAAATCAGAGAGCCGGTTTTCTTGCTTTTTTCTAGCAAGGACTTTTATCTCTGTCTTGGGGGTGCCTTGTTTGGAGGCCCAGGATATGAAATGGACAAAAGAGAGCTGCTCTTGGCCTCTTCTTTCAGCTCCCTGTCCTCAGGCATGCAGAGCACCCGCCCCGCCGCCGTGGCGTGGCTCCAGGCAACAACATTTGCAGATAACTGCAGATGACCTCATGGGGTCCCAGCAGGGCCTCTCCTGGGCTGAGTCATCCCAGATGGATGAACCCCGTAGAGGGTGGGGAGGACTGACAGGGGGCGCCTACGGGTTATCGACGTCATCCCGCAGCACATTGAGGGTGTAGTACACGCGGCCCCGGAAGTAGAGGCGGTGGAGGTGCTCAGTGAGGTCCTTCCTCCAGCTCACATACAGCAGGTTGCAGATGAACTGGTCGAAGCTCTTGAGCTGAGCAGTGGGGGAGACAGGGGGGAGGGAGAGACACATCATTCTTCCTGCAAGCGTCAGCTCCCAGCTCAGGCTGGCGGAAAGCCTCTGCCGACCAGTCCCAGCCCAACGGGTGTCCACTCAGCACTGGGGCCTGTTAAAGCCTCAAGTCATGGGATTGCTCCCTTCCTCTTTCACGCATGTGTTCATTCCTTCACCAAAGGCAAGGCCCTCCAGCCCCCACATGCTTCTGGAGATTGGAGACAGTATCTTCTCTTCCATTTGTTCTTATTTTTCTGTCCCCCCAAACCTGGAACAGGGTTCTATACACATAGGTGCTTACTGACAGAAGACCCAACAGAAGTGAAAAAGTGTGATGAGAAGTGGCTTCCCCAAGAAAACCGGTGATGCGGCCTGGCAGAGCATTAGGCCTGAGTCCTAGCAGAGCCCGGACTCTGACCATTTATGGGGCCTCTGTATGCTAAGCACGAGGGAGGTAACGGTGAGGTCACAGTCTGGTGAAAACACAGACAGTCCCCAGGCTGTAAGGAGTGTTAGGGCAGAGGTAAACGCAAAAGGATTAGCGGGGCTTCCCTGGTGGTCCAATGGCTAAGACTCCAAGCTCCCAACGCAGGGGGCCCCAGGTTTGATCCCTGGTCAGGGAACTAACTAAGATCTCACGTGCCTCAAGGTACAGCCAAAAAAAAAAAAAGATTAGCAATTCAAAGGGGTGGAGTTGGTGGAGGAAACATGAAAGAAAAGTTGAGGATGATCTGAAGGAGGTGACAGAGGAATCGTGAAAAGTCAGCAGGCATTAAGCAAGTGAATGAGGGGTGGGGGGAGGAGGCCATTCCGTGAGGAAGCAGCAGGTGCAAAGGCTGGGAGATGTGACAAGTGCCAGGCCCAGTCACAGCCTCAGCGCGTCAGAGGACAGCAGCGGCTCTGGCTGCTGAGCCCGGTTTTCAGGGGCTCTGAGCTCCCTGAAGCAAGAGTTCTGGGAACAGAAGCGACAATGATCTTTTCTGTTAAATGCTGAATTAAACCAGAACCCTGTGGCGGAGCCCCAAGAGCTTGAAACAATTGCAGAATTGGTCTCATGTGGGCAAACAGGCAAGATCAATGCCCTGCCTAGAGTTCTGACCCCAAGTTCCCAGAAGAGGGAGGGAACACATGCGCACCGCTTGGTTCCTGCTTCCTGATGACTAAGTCCCACCGGGCACTGGCCAGACATCACACTAGGCTGGAGGGGAAGAGAGATGTGGGGAGAAGACCTTACCACGGAGTTGAGGACGATCAGCACGACAGACAGGAACGTCAGGGTCTTAAATCCATTCAAGTCTTTGTTTCCTAGGACTCCAAAGTACTGACTGGGGATCAAGCCAACCCGGTAGATCACCAGTTGTTCTGGTGGGAGGGGGAGGAGGCAGGAATCAGTAAGGAGGGGTGAGAAAAGTCAGAGGAAGGCTTCTTCTTGTATCCACGTGTCATCAACACCCCGCGGAAGGAAAAGGACCCCACGAGCCTGGGCTCATTCACTCACCCAGTAGGGCCACACACAAAAGGGTCAGGAACATCAAGGCATTCTGTGATGACCAAGAGGGAAATAAAACTGTCTGTATCTGCAGGAACCGCTGGAGAAATTGCAGACCTAACCTGGGTCTGAAGAAGAGAAGCAGAGAGAAGCCTAAGAGGACAACGGAGCCTTAGAGAGCAGTGACTAAACTTATCTACACCTGTTGTGGGTTGGGGCTGAGGCCATGTAGAAGGAATGTTTTACAAATGCTGAAGACAGTAGGCTGGGAACAGACCAGGGGATTAAAAAGGAATTTCTTTAAGTTGACAAATGCTATGAAAGGTTATTTACCAAAAACCTATGGCTAAATTAATAAAGAAATTTTAGCCACACCCTCTTTTTGGTCACAGACAAGGAAACCCGCTACATCCATTCTCAAATAAGACCCCCAAACCAAAAACTAAAAGGCAGGAAAACTCACAACTTTAACTCAGAATTAAGTACTTTTGTTCAACATAGTGCCATAGATTCAGACATTTCGGAGAAGGGAAAGGTAATAAAATCTACGCACACAAGAAATTCCTGCGTCAGGAAGACAGGAAATCCACAGAAAAGTGGGAAAAGGACTTAAATAAGGGGAAAGTCAAATATTTAAAAGAGGAAAGTTAACACAATGGAATACCACCTTACACTGATTAAGTTGATACACATTAGAAAACCCAAACAATACCAAACACTGGGTGGGTGGGGGTCGGTGGTTGAAAGGGAACTGGAACCGGGAAACCGGGTGTGATCACTCCGGAGAACAAAGTGGTGTTGGGAAGCCGGGTGTGATCACTCCGGAGAACAAATTCAGCAGAATTAAGCGTGACGGAGCATCCTACCCTGGGGTGAACAATCCAAAGAAAAATCTAAGCACTAAGTGTCCATCACTAGGAGGATGTATAAGTCAACTGCGGTCTAATGACCTTAGGTAGCACCACCCAGCACTCAGAAGTGAAAACTAGATTACTATAGCATGCATGATCTCAAAAACACAATGTTGAATAAAAAGTTTTTTAAAAATCACAGCATGTTATGAAGTTGGAAGGTGCTGTACCTTTTCCCCAAACAGCCCCGAGTAAGACGTCCCAAGGCCCGGCCGTCCTCCCCAGCCGCCCTGCTAACCTGCAGCCAGGCCGGGGCGCGGGTCCCCGGATCGCCATGAACAGGGATCTGACCGACGCGGGAGCCGGGCAGCCCCCGGGTTGGCTCCGGGCGGAGTCCGAAGAGCGAGCGGCCTGCCGAAGAGGGGCGGGGCCCCGCGCCAGGGCGGGGGCCGGACCCGGCTACCACAGAGACGGGCGGATAGAGAGGAAGCCGCAGGGCGACGCCGCCGCTCCCGGAAGCTACTGACTTCTCTTAAAAGAACCAGAGCGCTGTCTGTCGACCCGGCGCCTAGGGCGCCCTCTCCTGGATGTTAAGTTTCCCCTTAGGCAAGAAGCAGCGGAGAATGTGACCGGAGTATTTTTAACTCGAATTATACATGTTTCGAATTATACAGGAACCAGAGGTCAGATTGTCAACATCCGTTGGATCATCGGAAAAGGAAGAGAGTTCCAGAAAAACATTTACTTCTGCTCTATTGATTACGCCAAAGCCTTTGACTGTGTGAATCACAACAAACTGGAAAATTCTGAAAGAGATGGGAATACCAGACCACCTGACCTGCCTCCTGAGAAATCTGTATGCAGGTCAAGAAGCAACAGTTAGAACTGGACTTGGGACAACAGACTGGTTCCAAATCGGGAAAGGAGTACGTCAAGGCTGTATAATGTCACCCTGTTTATTTAATTTATATGCAGGATACATCATGCGAAATGCCGGGCTGGATGAAGCACAAGCTGGAATCAGTATTGCTGGAGAAATATCAATGACCTCAGATATGCAGATGACACTTATGGCAAAAAGCAAAGAGGAACTAAAGAGCCTCTTGATGAAAGTGAAAGATGAGAGTGAAAAAGCTGGCTTAAAACTCAACGTTCAGAAAACTAAGATCACGGCATCTGGTCCCATCACTTCATGGCAAATAGATGGGGAAACAATGGAAACAGTGACAAACTTGATTTTTTTGGGCTCCAATATCACTGCAGATGGTGACTGCAGCCAAGAAATTAAAAGATGGTTGGTTGCTCCTTGGAAGAAAAGTTATGACCAACTTAGACAGCATATTAAAAAGCAGAGACATTACTTTGCCAACAGTGTTCATCTAGGCAAAGCTATGGTTTTTCCAGTAGTCATATATGGATGTGAGACTTGGACTATAAAGAAAGCTGAGCTCCGAAGAATTGATGCTTTTGAACTGTGGTGTTGGAGAAGACGCTTGAGAGTCCAAGAAGGAGATCCAACCAGTCAATCTTAAGGGAAATCAGTCCTGAATATTCATTGGAAGGACTGATGCTGAAGCTGAAACTCTAATACTTTGGTCACCTGATGTGAAGGACTGACTCCTTGGAAAAGACCCTGATGCTGGGAAAGATTGAAAGCGGGAGAAGAAGGGGGTGACAAAGGATGAGATGGTTGGATGGCATCACCGACTCAATGTACATGAGTCTGAGTAAGCTCCCGGAGTTGGTGATGGACAGGGAAGCCTGGTGTGCTACAGTCCATGGGAGGTCGCAAAGAGTTGGACACGACTGAGCGACTGAATTGATACATGTTTCACCGGAGAAGGGAAAGGCTACCCACTCCAATATTCTGGCCTGGAGAATTCCATGGACTGTATAGTCCATGGGATCACAAAGAGTCGGACACGACTAAGTGACTTTCACTTCATTTCATACATGTTTCATACCTTCTTCCAAAGATGCCAGAATGATTTTTTTTTTTTACTTTTTGACAGTGCTGTGCAGTGAGGCTTTCCAGGATCTTAGTTCTCCCACCAGAAATTGAACCTTCACTCACACAGTGACAGGGCAGAGTGCTAACCACTGGATTTTCAGGGAATTCCTAGAGTTATCTTTTAACCACATAAGTTAGGCTTCCAATTTCAGTTAGAATAAAATTCAAACATTTCCATGGCCCGAGTGATCGGGTCCTCTCACCTTGGTCTTGAACAGGCCACTTTATTTTGGTCTCAGGGTCTTTGCCTGGATCACTCTTCTCCCTAGCCTAAAGCTTTCCACGACTGGCTCATTCTCATCATCAGTTCAATAGGATGTCAACTGCTCATCCTACCCAGAATATGCTTTCCTTGCCCCGCCATTCACTATTACATTACATTTTTATTGTCTTCATGATATTTATCCCTGTCTGAAATCATCTTGTTTCTTTGCTTTATTGTTTGTCTCCCTTTATAAGAACACATTTCATTGAGCAGGAACTCTGTCTTGCTCATTGATGTATTCCCAGTACCTCAAACACTGATACTAGGTGTGAGGTAAGTGCTTAATAAATATTTGTTAAATGTCAAATGAATGAAATGCTTGTCAACTGGCTGATGATGAGCAGCATGATCTCTCAGGGCCCTAAGTTTGAATCTGGATGTACCTTCCCACCTTCCTCAGTCCTTAAGTGTCAACTATATTCAAACACTCAACAAGATACAGGTATCACCTGTCTCCTTGGAGTTGACAGTCTAGGTGGGAAGGCCAACCAGCTGACGGTATCACTTGTCTTTGTGAACTGCTGTGACAGTGGAACCATAGAGCATGGTTTCTCAGCTTTGGCATCATTGACTTTTGGGGGCTGACAGTTCTTTCTTGGGGGAGTGGAGAGACTGTCCTGTGTATGGTAGGATACTGAGCAGTATCTCTGGCTTCTACTCACTAGATTCCAGCAGCACTACCCCAGATCTGCCAACCAGGACTGTCTCCAGACACTGCCAAATGTGTCTTGGATGGTGGGGGTGGAGAGGAGCTTTGTCTCACCCCACCCCCACCCCCAGCACTGAAAACCAATGTCTCAGAGCCATAGAGAGGGCCATCCAACTCAGCATGGAGAAAAGGGGAGAGAGGAAAGCTAAGTGATTCCTAGACATGGCAAGAGCATCACTTAGTCTCAAGTGTGATTTCAGAAGTATGTCTTTGTTACTTTGAAAATCAAAAAAATAAACATGTCAGGAGACAGTTTCTGAAAAATTAATAAGGCAACCAAAGTATCAAAGCAAACAACCTCAACCTGCTAGGAAAATCCCTGTTTGCAGCTCTCATCACATTTCACTCTCAAAAGTATTCTGGTTTGGTGTTTGTCCCAGGGCCCCTTAACACTGTTTATTACTTTAAACTTTACAGAATGCTCTATATATCACATCATTCATTAATATTTCCATTTATATTTCTAAATTATCTTTTAAATAATTTCCAGCACTTTAATCCTGAAGTAGGGTAGTGGAAACCTAACGAAACATCTAACATTTAAACAAATAATTTCTTAATATCAGCTACCTCTGTTAAAATTTCCCATTGTAACTGTGATACTTCCTTTTCTTTTTTTTTTTTTACTGTTTTTTAAAAAATAAAGACCCAAATAAGTTCTCCATATTGTAGTCAATCGATACGTCTTCTAAAACTCTTAATCTATAGTTTCCTCCTCCATCACCTTAGACTAACCACTGTTATCTCTCTCCTGTTTGCAGAAACCTCCTAACTGGTTTCCCCAATTGGATTCTTGATGCTGTTCTAATCCAGCTCCTACATGACAGCTAGGGGAGACTGCCAAAAACAGATCAACACCTTGCTTAAAACCCTTCAGTGGTTCCAAAGTCTCTAGAGCCCTGGCTCCGCTATCCACCCCAACCTTTTAAGGCACCAAGAGACAACCTTGTTCCCTCCTGTTCATTTCTTCCCTCCTGTTCATTTCTACTCTTACTTCTGTCTTCACTGTAATGTTACTTCTCAGGAAAGTCCTCTCCAACTGCCTTCTCTAAAGAAAGACTCTATTATTACTTCCCATAACACCCCAGTTTTTCTCCTTGAGGCACTTACTGAAGCTTGGTATTATATTTTCATTTTGTGTGTTTACTTCATTAATGCCTCTCTCCACAGACTATCAGCTGCAGGAGGGCAGGGACCATGTCCACCGTGTTCACCTTTGTCCAGAAGCACTCTGGAAGGACACAGTAAATCTTTGTTGAACAAAGTTGAGCAAGACAGTCCCTGACCTCACAAGGTGCACGGGCAACTGTCTCATACTGTTTACTAGGACAACTGAAATTCCCCCTTTCCAGCTGCCAGTCTTGGGGCTGCTTTCTCACTCTCATACAAAGACACAGGGAGACAAATTGGTTAAAGAAAAAAAAAAAGCCAAGTAATTTGGTAATAAGTATCAGGCTTTAGATGATGCCATAATTTCACTCCCAGGACTTCTCCTATGGATGCAGGAGCACAAAGGGTTAGTCTGGAGGCTGTTTCTGTGGTGTGATAGGGTGAAAGCAAAGCCCTAGAAACAAACAGAATTCCTACCAGAGGAGGAAAGGGTGTAAAAAAGTATGACACAATCACTTTGTGGAATACACTTTGCAGCTCTTAACAAGGATGAGAGAGGCTACAGGGCCACAGAGGTTCAGAACATGGATTTCTGAGCCAGATTACATGGATTCAAATCCCTGCTCTACCACTTAATATCTGTGTGACCTTGGGCAAGTTGCCTCAGTTTCTTCTCTGTGAAGTGGGATGATAATCGTTCTGACATCAGAGAGAGAGAAGTGGGATGATAATTGTTCTGACATCAGAGAGCTCTGGGCAAGTATCTAAACAGGACCTGGCAGTAATCAGCGCTAAATGCTATATTATATAGAAACGTGGGAAAAATGCCCATTTTATATTGTCTCGTTCATTTTTAATTCTAGTTTAACTGAAAATTTTAAAACACACATGATAAAAAAAGTCCATACAGGATAGGGCATATTGTGAAAAATAACATGTTTGTTTTTCCTGCTCCAGAGGAAATAACTGTTCACACCTTCTTAGGAATCTTTACAAAAATGTTTCATGCACAGGCAAACTTATATGTGTGATTATTTTTCACACACACATACACCCCTACCTTTTCCTTTTGAAGTTCGCTTTTTAGGTTTCATAGTATATCTTGGAGTTGCTTCCATACCACACAGACCCCTCCCTCATTTTTTCTCACTGCATAATATTCTACTGTATAGAGAAATTATTTATCCAGTTTCCTATTGCTGGATATTTGCTATTACATAGAATGTCACAATGAATATCCCTGGATATAGCCAAAATATGAGTAATTTTAAAAGACGGCATATTTCATATTTTGTTTGTAAAAAAAAGCAC